TGAAATGCATTGCCGCCGAATTTCGGCGGCAAACCGGGAATACAGCAAGCTGATCTGGGGGGACTGGGGGCACCCTCTTTGGATGCCCCTGGAATCGGACCCCCCCTAGGGGTCTGCAAAAAGGAAAGCAGAAGGTTAAAATCCCATTGAAATGCATTGCCGCCGAATTTCGGCGGCAAACCGGGAATACAGCAAGCTGATCTGGGGGGACTGGGGGCACCCTCTTTGGATGCCCCTGGAATCGGACCCCCTGGACCAATCTTCTTGAAACTTTGGGGGTCTTTCGGGGAGAGGTTTGAGCAGCCACGGTCCAAATTTGGAGGCTCTACCCCCTCCCCCCCAGCCCCCCGCAAAGTTTCAAGAGGTTTTTTGCCATTGACTTCAATGGCCCCATTGGTTATAATGGACCCGAATTTTTTCGGGATTTTTTTTCGGGATTCGGGAAAATGCATAGGAAGCCATTTCGGGATTGCAAAAGCCGAAAAAAGCCGAAAAACGTTATTTTCGGCTTTTTTTTCGGTTCGGGATCCCGAAATGCACATCCCTAGTACTTATTCATCTACTTGTAATTCCTTGCTTTCGAACTGCTAGGTTGGCAGGAGCTGGAACCAGAGATGGGAGCTCACTCCATCATGCGGCACCCCTGGGTCTCGAACTGCTGAACTACTGACCTTCCACAGCCTGCAGTTCAGCGTCTTAACCACTTGAGCCACCGCAGCTCCTATATTGGAAGTTACTGAGGCATAAATCAGTGTGATGAAACCAGGCTCTTTTCAGGAAGGGTTGCAGGGAGAAATTGGAGAATAGCAAATCCACGTCAGGGTGTGTGTGTGTGAGAGAGAGAGAGAGATGGGCCTTGCTTTCAGTTAGCATACGCCTGTGCCTTCTTTCCCCCCACTGTGACTGGCACGTCACTAGCTGACCTCTTCCCTGTATCTGTCTTGTTTGGCTTGCCAGAATGATCGTGGAGCTGCATCGCAAAGTCTCCAGCCTCATCGAGTTCCTGAAGCAGAAGTGGGCTCTCCACGAAGTGCGCATTGTATCCTTTGTCTGGTTCGGAAGAGAGGTGGCCTGGGTGGAAATTCTTTATGTCGTTTGGTGAGAAAGCTCTTGAAGCCATGCCAGCATTCTGTCAGGAGATTATTAGCATTCATTGTGACCTTATCTTTTTTTAAACAGACACACAAAAAAGGTAGTAGCATGTCAACCAAGAGAGGTCCAGGCTCAGTGGTGGAGAATGTTCCCTCTAAGCTGTGGAGTCTTGTGAGCAAAAATCCTGCTTTGCAAGTTACTGGCATTAAAGTTGTGAGCGAGCAATTTGGCGGCTGCATAAATCAGTTTGCTCTGGAGCCCTCCTTCCTGAGCCAAGACAAAAATGTGTGAGCCGGCGGCTAAAAGACTGAGCTAGCTCACACTAACTCATCTTAGAGGGAACACTGGTGGTGGAGCTTTGCATACAGAAGGTCCCAGATTACGACCCCTCGTTTAAAGGATCATGTAGTAGGTGGTAAAGAAAGATCTCCATGCAAGAGCCATTGCCAGCCAGACGACCGGGATCTTGACAGATCAGTATAAGGTAGCTCCATGTGGGGAGGGGCCATGGCTCAGTGGCAGAGTGTCCATTTTGCACAGAGGAGGTTCCAGGTCAGTCCCTGGCATCTCCAGTTAAGAATCAGGTAGCAGATGTGGCGCGGAAGATCTCTGCTGGAGGCCCTGGAGCACTGCTGCCAGTCACAGCACAGGCCGCGATGGGCCAGCGGTCCGACTCAGCATAAGACAGCTTCATGGGTTCCCTTTGGGAAGAACGCCCATGTTCTGAAGGGATTGTGGGGGAGGCTTCCCGCCTTGTTTTCGCACGGCAGTCTTCCTTAACGCCCTGTACTCAGCGTAAAACACTAGCAGAAAGGCAGCTGCAAGATTCCAGAGATCCCGAAACGAGTGGCAGCTGTTCAGAAGAGAAAACGACGCTCCATCTGTTCCCAGGAGAGAACTGTACCTTGACCCCGCTCCCCGGGGTTGCCAGAGTCGTCCACTCCAAAGCATTCTGCACCGTGCACTGGCAGGAGTCGGGCAGGTGCAAGCAGAACACGAAGGACTCTCACTTGTTGCCTCCCGCCCAGATTCTAGGCATACAGAGTGGCCAGGGGACGGCCAGGGGGCAGGTCAAATACCCGCGGGGGGCTGGGGCTGGGGCCAGGGCAGAGAGCACTACAGAAGCAAGCAAAAACACTCAGTCCACATTGGACGCAGCTGTAAGCAATGCCGAGGATGGCTCTCCGGAGACGGGAGTTGTGGAAGGCGTCTCTCCGAGTCTCAGTGTCTCCAACTGTCTCGATAAGCCACCTTCTGGAGTTCAGGATCCGGGCGGGTGTCTTGAGAGGCCAGTTCCCACCACTCACCGTGCTGAGGGTAGGGAGGCACCGGTCACCGAAGTGACCACCACGTTACTGTCGAGCGTCACCAGCTGTCGTTGCGGCCCTATTCCCGATTTGGAGGAATTGTCTTTGCTGGACCCTTTCCCTCGGTACATGAAGTCTTGCCAGGCCCTTATTGTCCCGGACAAGTGTCTTTGCACAGACAGACTGAACGGGAAAGACTCGGCCACGCCGGGGAGCCTCCCTTCCGGGAGCGCAGAGGCCGGCGATCTCGACGTGGCGCGGCTGGCGGGTGACCGAGTGGCATCACCCACTTGTGGCCCATCCCGATCCGAAACTCAGGCCCTCCCCTGCTGCGGACCACAGGCAGAAGCGTGCGGTAAGGAGCCGTCGGATGCAGTAATGGAAGACTCTCAGGAGAAGCTCAGCACCTCACTGCCGCCGCCCCCACCTCAGGGACAATCCGTTGCCAAGTCTCTCAAGGACGACCCGAGCCGCCTCGCGCAACAGGTCAGGGAGGAGGGATGGAGCCTGCAGACCTCCGAGAGCCTTACCTTGGCTGAAGTCTACCTCATGATGGGCAAACCGAACAAGCTGCAGCTAGAATACGACTGGCTGTCCGTCTCGGGGCCGGAAACCCCGGAATCCGGGGAGCAGGCCGCCAAAACGAAATCCGTTCCTCCCTCAGCCCCCTTTCACAAACAGAAACTCCTCAACTGCCTCTTACGACTCATCTCCACCGAAGTGAACCCCAAGCCGGTAAGGATCTATGTGCCGGGTCTTCTGACCCACTTTGCAACAAAAATTCTTAGTGAGGTGGTGGGCAGGGGGAGTGAGATTACGTTTGCAGCAATGGCAGGCAGTAACATGCAGCAAAATTCATAAAATATAATTGCAAAAGGCCTGAATAAACAGTGTGTTTTTAAGTAAGTAAGTAAGAAAGAGGAACAGGGCTATTTTTGGGCAGGAACGCACAGGAACGGCGTTCCAGCTGGCTCCCGAGTTGGCCATGCCCAGCAGGAACTCATTAGCATAATAGGCCACACCCAACAGCAGAAACTCATCAGGATTGGCTACAATTAGAGGTGTGTGGCCTAACATGCAAAGGAGTTCCTACTACAAAAAAAGGCCCTGGGTTTTGACAACAAACAAGGTAAACAGAATAAGAAGCAAAAAGTGGGTGTGGCTGGATGACCACACTTCTGGTAACATGGGAATGCGGCTTAATATGCGAATAAGTGGTGCAGTCAGGGGTGTGGCCTAATATGCTAATGAGTTTCTGCTTCTGGGTGTGGCCTATTATGCTAATGAGTTCCTGCTGGACTTTTTCCTACCCAAAAAGCCCTGAAGAGGAGTAAGCGCTATAGTCCTAGATCCTGAGAATTATGGTTAGACGTTTCATTTACCTCCTCTTTCTCCACAATGAGGGCCAAAAGCAGCGTGCGTTGTTCTTCTCTCCTCGTTTTTATCCTCGACATAACCCTGTGAGGTAACATAACATAAAAGACGCCAACGTTGGATCAGGCCAAAGGCCCCTCCAGTCCAACACTCTGTGTCACACAGTGGCCAGAAATACCAGGTGCCATCAGGAGATCCACCAGTGGGGCCAGGACATTAGAAGCCCTCCCACTGTTGACCCCCCCCCCAAGCACCAAGAAGACAGTGGGGCCAGGTAGGCGATGCAGAGAGTGTGTGACTGGCCCCGGGCTGAACCCGGGCCTCCAAGATCCTAGAATGACACTCTAACCACCTTGTTACTGTGACTGTCAGGTTGGTGCCATAATATAATATACAGGCTACTCCTGAAACTCCATGTTATTTTATTGCTTCTGGCTTAATATATGGTGGAAGCATTAACCAATTGTCGGAAGCTGATCTGCTATGCATTGTTCTTGCTCATTGAGAAGTGCTTCCTCAGATCTGTCAGGCCAAGACTGTCACATGAGTAGTTTGCCGCGGCAGCATATCGGTCCTAAATAAGCCACTTCAGTTTGGGACACTTTGCGTCGATCACACAATGCCCCCTAAGCCAGCATCATAGCGCTGCATGCCCATGGTTGGTTGTTCATATTGCTAATGTGCTGCAGCCACAGACCCGCAGCTGGGTTGGTTGGCTTTCCCCCCTAAGTTGTGCTGTGTGTGCGCAGAGGCAGAGAAGCGCACATACGCTCCTGGCCGCGTTCTATGGGGGCACTGACACGCACGTTGAAGTGGGGTTGGTGGGGGGGAAGGATGCACTGGAAACGGAGTGGAATGATCACACCGCTCATGCGTTCCCACAGTGGGCCCAAGTGATCAGATACCTGGACATCCACCATGGAAGCGCCTTGCTGAGGTAGCCACCAGAATTTGCCGGTGGGCATTTAATCCGTGTGGGAGTCATTGTACCATAATAATAATAATAATCTTTCAATTTATTGATTGCTCAATCCTTGCAAAGCTGCCGGCTCTGGGCGATTTACAGTTACTCATGTGTAGACATGGGACTAACAATGATGGGAGTAAGGGAGGACAACATATATCATTTTTAATCACACACACGTCGCAGTCGACAGGGAGTTTGGTCAGCTGTAAGCATCAGATGTGTCCCGGCTTGGTGTCCCGGCTTGATGTCGTCAGCATCAGCGCACCACTGCCACCGTCTGGCCGGAATGGCCCATTGCAGGCTTTTCTTTGAAGCTGTGTAGATCTCTCTCCGCTTTTGAGCTTACGCGTGGACCTTCTGTTTGTCAGCTAACACTTTCCCACGGGGGGGTTAAGTTACCATGAGGTGGGGATGACCGGGGCACGGGAGCCAGATGCGCGCCCATTTGGTCCAGAGGGGAGGGTGGCTGTGTTGGGCCAAACTGCTCATGTGATCACATCCTGTGAGTGGCATTAAAAGCCAGCACCCACACTTAGCCCAGGAGCATAGGGACAAGTGGAGTATGCACAAGACTGGTGTTAGACACTGGTGTCTAACCCCTACATCTAAAGCAGTCTAATTGTCAAACCTGGACCAAATCAAATACCTTTATTGGCATACAATATTAGAAGCAATTCCCACTATTCCAATAGAAATTATAAAATAGATAATCGTGGTAAAACCATTCCAAGGATATATCAGGCCTATGACATAAGTCAAGTTATCACAAGATAGATATAAAAATGCCTGAATCGTAAAATAAATCTGAATTCTAAACTTAAAATTGAGTTTTTTAAAATTATAAATTAAGACTCAACATAAAACCATGAAGAAACTTGGTGGTCAGTTCAATGATCTCCGGATCTCGTGAAGCAAGGAGATAATGCACCTCGATTCTATCCAGTTGGCCTGCTACCAACCTAAGGGGGGGCTTCTATAAATTCCACTCGAATGTCATTTAACAATTTACAGTGTAAGAGTACGTGCTCAACAGTTTCCATTTCTCTTCTATTACATCCACAAAACCTGACTGAATAAGGGATTTTCTTCTATCTCCCCTCAAGAATAGCAGAGGGGACAAACCTGGACCAGTTGTAGTTTCGCAACTGTCTTCAAGGACAGCCCTATGTGGAGTGTATTTTAAGTGGTCGGGGGGTGGGGGGGGGGTTACATGGACATGTGCTACAGAGGCCTGTCCGTGATGAATTGATTCGAACATGAGAGGCACCATCATCCACACAGAGATAAGAGTACAAGGTGTGGTAGCTTTCCTCTCGCTTTGGCATTTGTGGAATAATTCATAGACCCTGCTTTTAATCTGATGTTACGTTCGTGATAAAATATAGGAAAGAGAATGAACAGAGAGGAGAAAAATGTTCCCGTTCTAAAAAAGCAACTAGTAATTTGTTGGAAGTTTTGACAGTCTCTCTGCCATGATACAAAATCCCTTTTCTGGCCCGCGAAGACACTGAGCAGGGGTTTGCAGCTGAGGAGCGCACGTCTCTCCTCCCTTGCCCAGTAAATGGCGTAGTCCCACTTAATGCCATGGGACTGGCTTCCGAGTAATCGCGCACAGGGCTAATTACAATGCCCCTGAAGGCAGGAAAAGAGTAAACAAATGGGAACGCTCATCCTTTATTGTGATCAGCCTTCAGCGGGGGAAATGGCTGCGGTCCCTCTCTAAAACTAAGCAGAGGGCTACTGTTGGGAAAGGCCCGTATGCTGAAAGCCGACTTGGTTTTTTACTGAGCAAGACCAATGGGTTTTGTTTTATTTTTGATCTTTTTAAAAGCCGTGTGTATGTGCTGGGGTGGGGTGGGGGCGACGACTTGGTTGCCTGGAGGCTCCGAGAGTCAACACCTCTTGGTGATCCCTGGCCCAAGGGACGTCCGCCTAGCCTCGACCAGGGCCAGGGCTTTTTCTGCCCTGGCCCCCAGCTGGTGGGACATGCTCCCTACTTAGATCAGGGCCCTGCGGGATCTTATTCAGTTCTGCAGGGCCTGCAAGACGGAGCTCTTCCGCCAGGCTTTTGGCTGAGGCAGCGGGCGTCCACCCCCACCCCCGGTTGCTGTCTCCCACCCACTGATAACTGGCCATACCTATGTACAGGGCTATTTTTGGGCAGGAACGCACAGGAACGGAGTTCCGGCTGGCTCCCAAGTTGGCCACGCCCAGCAGGAACTCATTAGCATAATAGGCCACACCCAACAGCAGAAACTCATTAGGATTGGTTACATTAGGGCTTTGTGTGGCCTAACATGCAAAGGAGTTCCTGCTCAAAAAAAAAAAGCCCTGGGTTTTGACAACAAACAAGGTAAAGAGAATAAGAAGCAAAAGGTGGGTGTGGCTGGATGACCACACTTCTGGTAACATGGGGGTGCGGCCTAATATGTGAATGAGCTGTGCTGTCAGGGGTGTGGCCTAATATGCTAATGAGTTCCTGCTGTTGGGTATGGCCTATTACGCTAATGAGTTCCTGCTGGGCTTTTTCTACAAAAAAAGCCCTGCCCCCTGCTCCCAGCAGCCCTCAGTCAGAGCAAGAAGCAGCCAGGTAAATTGCAGAGCTCCCCCCAGCCCCTGGTCCGAAACAGTCCAGTGGCACCTTTAAGACCAAGTTTTATTCAGGTACAAGCTCTCCCTCCTCTGTGAGGACTGATCTGCACGTATCTCCCCCCCCCAAAAAAGCTAGGAATCCAAAACAGTCCAGTAGAGCCTGAGCGGTGGGTGTTGCCTTCTGACACACTTCCGGTGATGTCAGGGGGTGTGGCATATGCAAACGAGTTATGCTAACGATTTATGCTAATGAGCTCCTGCACTTCTTTTTCTACGAAATAACCCGTGTGTGTGTGTGTGTGTGTATTAAAGCTGTAGTGGTTCTGGGGTGTTGGTGCACTAGAAAATGGTACAGAAACGATGAGGTACCTATTTTTCTAATTGTTGTAGTACTGAATTGTATTATCAGCCAGAAATAACCCAAACATTTGAGAACAGTGTTTTTAAAAAGGTGGGAGCGGGAAATAGTTTTGCGTGCCATAAACAAATTGGAAATTTCCCAGTGACCCAAATGTGCCTCTCTAGGATTCTGTAATTTTTTAAGGGTTTGAGCAAGCCAATTTCCCCTCTCCTTTCTGTTTAATTTCTTTCAACATCTGTGTCATGTAGAGTGTAGTGAGTATGCTCAGTCATCCTTCAGCAGTTTTGGGGGGGAGGGTTGCCCCACGATGAGGCAAAAGCAGTATGCTCTCAGCCTGTGCTGTTGCGTTTGTTCTCATTGCCAGCCTTGTTTTGTTGGAAGCTCAGGGGGAGTGTAGCTCAGGGGGGAGTGCGGAGAACTTTATTCTTCCACTTGCGTGTGCTCTTTCTGAAGCGCAGCCATTGGGATTCAGAGACTCCTGTTCTTTTTCAGGCTCCAGAAACTAGCACTGTTGCAACGTCCCCTATCAAGCCCGCCCAAGAGGAGCACACTCTGACCCCTCCCGGGAAGGTGATTGCCATTAGCACCAGGAGTCCGGGCTGTGCACGCAATCAGCCCGCCCTTCGCAACAAGACCTTCTCTCCCGGCACCACTTCCAGCCCCTCAGGTGAGCGAGACACAGGGAAGAAGCACAAGAGGGAGTAGCAGCCATGCGGAGTTCCCTCGGCGCATCCGTGGTCTGTTGTATTTGTTCTGCCAGCATTAAATCCCTCTCCAGGTTCTGCAACATGACGTGGTTACGGAAATGGGTGGGGTGGGTAGCTGAGAGCGGTAGCTTTCAGGACGCCTGTTTGAAATTGAGGTGCGGAGTCCCTGCTCGTCTGCCACAGAATCACTGCATGTTGCTGAGGATTCTGGGGGTGAGGAAATGTCTACAGGTGCTCTCCAATGTTCCCTCTAAGCTGTGGAGTCTTGTGAGCAACAATTCTACTTTGTGAGCTACTGGCATTCAAGTTGTGAGCAAGTGATTTGGCTCCTGCATAAATTAGTCTGCTCTGGAGCCATCCTCCCTGAGCTAAGATGAAAATGCGTGCGCTGGAGGCTAAAAAACTGTGAGCTAGCTCACACTAACTCAGCTTAGAGGTAACACTGGTGCTCTCACCCGATGTGACACGCCAGTGCACCCTAGAAACATGCTTAAACTTTCCATGCCACTGCATGTGGGAGGAAGATCTATACAGCTTGCTTTTCTCTCTTGGTGTTTTGAGTACCCTCTGCATTGTCATGGTAGCACATGTGCTTCGTGGTCAAAGACCAGCTTGTGATCGCACAGACACGATGAGGCAAAAGCAGTATGCTCTCATCAGCCTGTGCTGTTGCATTTGTTCTCATTGCCAACCTTGTTCTGTTGGAAGCTCAGGGGGGAGTGCGGAGAACTTTATTCTTCCACTTGCGTGTGCTCTTTCTGAAGCGCAGCCATTGGGATTCAGAGACTCCTGTTCTTTTTCAGGCTCCAGAAACTAGCACTGTTGCAACGTCCCCTATCAAGCCCGCCCAAGAGGAGCACACTCTGACCCCTCCCGGGAAGGTGATTGCCATTAGCACCAGGAGTCCGGGCTGTGCACGCAATCAGCCCGCCCTTCGCAACAAGACCTTCTCTCCCGGCACCACTTCCAGCCCCTCAGGTGAGCGAGACACAGGGAAGAAGCACAAGAGGGAGTAGCAGCCATGCGGAGTTCCCTCGGCGCATCCGTGGTCTGTTGTATTTGTTCTGCCAGCATTAAATCCCTCTCCAGGTTCTGCAACATGACGTGGTTACGGAAATGGGTGGGGTGGGTAGCTGAGAGCGGTAGCTTTCAGGACGCCTGTTTGAAATTGAGGTGCGGAGTCCCTGCTCGTCTGCCACAGAATCACTGCATGTTGCTGAGGATTCTGGGGGTGAGGAAATGTCTACAGGTGCTCTCCAATGTTCCCTCTAAGCTGTGGAGTCTTGTGAGCAACAATTCTACTTTGTGAGCTACTGGCATTCAAGTTGTGAGCAAGTGATTTGGCTCCTGCATAAATTAGTCTGCTCTGGAGCCATCCTCCCTGAGCTAAGATGAAAATGCGTAAATACAATAAAACAGAAAATACAATAAATTACACGTAAATAACCTGTATAACATCATAAAGTGCTAATAAAAGTTGTCCAAATGATGGCGGAATTCGGTATACAATCGCATAATGGAAGGCAATATCCAGTAGTGTATCGTGCGAGCTGTAGTATGTTCCGGTGGCTCGTTCGTCAGTGGCGGCTCCTGATCGAAGGCCTGGCGGAAGAGCTCCGTTTTACAGGCCCTGCAGAACTGTAAAAGGTCCCGCAGGGCCCTGATGTTGTCCAGGAGCTCATTCCACCAGTGTGGAGCCGCCACTGAAAAGGCCCTGGCTCTAGTAATGGCCAACCTGGCGTCTCTCGGGCCAGGGAGAGTCAGGCAATTCTGTGTCCCTGGCCTCAATGCTCTCTGGGGCACATACGGGGAAAGGCTGTCCCTCAAGTAGGCAGGCCCCTGACCATTCCACATAGCACTGCTATTTTCTAGTGTTCCGATTTTGGAAGTGCTGCGACTTCCAAAATCTGACGTGAGATTGAAGAGTGATGCCCAAAAGCGAGAGCTGTGAAGGTCTGGAGAGATAAAATGCTTCCTTTTTCTCCCCATATGAAGGAATTTTTGTGGAACGCTGTAGGGGTGGAGAACAGCCATGCATGGCATAAATTTTATCTTTTGAAATGAGTAGTTTTTTTAAAAAGAGAATTTAGTTGTAAAGGCTAACAACCACTGATGGACCTCTCTTCCATAAAGTTTGTCTTATCCCCTTTTAAAGCCTACTAAACTAGTGATACAAGCTGATTTAGTTATTGAGTAAAAAAAAGTGATTCCTTTGTGTCTGTCCTTAGGGAGTCAGCAAGAAGGCATTGGTGCTTTTTCAAAAGGTACTTTTGTTGGTTTATTTTCAGATGCAGTCTGATTTCTTCTTGCCAAAGCCAAAGAAATTGCGCAACAGGCACCTGAGAAAACCACTCGTAGTACAGGTCAGAGAGAATGACTACGTGGAAGATGTGTTCTGGGTACTGAATGGGATTTCTGGATGGAATCTTTGTGTGGCTCCTCTCTTCCATCTAAGTGGACAGTTGCAAACTGGTTCCTGTTGTGGCCTGGATCTATGGCCTTGTTTCCCTTCGTACAGTTCCCTTTTGTGCTGCAGAGGCACACTGTCCTCTACTGCGGAGTGCCTTTCTCCAGCACCCAGTACTTCTGGCCACGCAAGACCAGTGTCTTTCAAAGAGCTGGGAAGTACATAGCGCAAAGAACTGTGGCCCTCAGTGGAGGACTGACTGCAACAGGCAGAGCAGAACACAAGTAGAAACAATGCTTAGGAACCCAGTTTATGTGACCACAATTATGTTCTCATGTGGAAATGTTTATGTGGTGCTGGGCTGGTACCAGCTGCTCCAGTGTTAGGACCAAAGAACCCTCTAAGCTGAGTTAGTGTGAGCTAGTGTGAGCTAGCTCACAGTTTTTGAGCCTCCGGCTCACACATTTTTGGCTTGGCTCAGGAAGGAGGGCTCCAGAGCAAACTAGTTTATCCAGCAGCCAAATCTCTTGCTCACAACTTTAATGCCAGTAGCTCACAAAGTAGAATTTTTGCTCACAAGAGTCTACAGCTTAGAGGGAAGAAGAAGAAGAAGAGATTGGATTTATGCCCCGCCCTTCACTTGGAGTCTCAGAGCGACTTACACACTCCTTTCCCTTCCCCCAACAGACACCCTGTGAGGTGGGTGGGGCTGAGAGAACTCTGACACAAACTGCTCTTTTTCGAGGACAGCTGTGCCAGAGCTTGTGACTGACCCAAGGTCATCCAGCCAGCTGCAAGTGGAGGAGTGGGGAATCAAACCCGGTTCTCCCAGATTAGAGTCCGTGCACTTAACCACTACACCAAACTGTCCTAACATCTGTTAGGACAGTTTTTAACAGGGCCTTAGAACGATGGTTCATGCAGGCCAGCCAGAGATGTTCCTCTTAAGGAGAGCATTGCTAGATGCAACCAGCAGTCCATTAAGTCCCAACAACCTGATTCCCACAGCACCCGGTCTCTGTTGTGTCTCCCCCTCCCCTTCCCCCAGTTGTCTTTCTAACCTGAAAACTCCCACAAACTCCCCAACGGCTGATGGGTCAAACCTGGTTATGAAATATCCATGTATGTCAAAGCTGGGGTGTTCTCAGCCTCTCTGGTGATAAATAGTATTACAAAGGCATGTATTTCCCCTACCCTTTTTGTTATTGTGTGATGAAAAGCATAAATGGTTAGCAGGTTGGGGGGGGGGTTACTTGCAAGGTTTCAAAGTGCTTTTGGTTTGCTTTGTTTCCCAGAGAACCCTGCTCCCCAGGCCATCTGGAAATCCCTCCCAGCACGTCTGTTCCTTTTCCATCTTGTCCAACTCATCTATAACAGGTAAGACTCCATTGGGTACATACTGCATACTGGCTGCTCAGTCTGCCATGAGCGAGCTTAAAAAAAAAAAAAAAAACTTGTGGGAAGATGCTCTTCAAACCAGTGTCTCAGGGCCTCATCTCCTGGTTCCAAGCTGAAGGCCAACATTTCAAATGGTGGTGGATGATTTAACCATTTGAAATGTTGGCCTTTAGCTGGGAACCAGGAGATGAGGCCCTGAGACAGAAGCTTGACTACACAGAAATTATGCATTTTAATTCTTCTGTCCCATTACAAATGTGCGAGAGAGTCACTGAAAACCCCTCTCCTTTGGCAACAGTAAGCAAGCCTCCCTGTTTGGCAGGGTGTCCAGAGGTCTGAATGCTTTGTAGCTATACATCCCTCACAGACATAAAATCACCTCATCTTTACCTCATAACTTAACAATGTTTTAATCTTTTTATGCAGAACCATTCTTTACATCCTTTATATGTACATTTGATCAGGGCTTTTTTTGTAGAAAAAGCCCAGCAGGAACTCATTAGCATATTAGGCCACACCCATGACAGCACAGCGCATTAGCATATTAGGCCACACCCTGTGTTACCAGAAGTGTGGTCATCCAGCCACACCCACCTTTTGCTTCTTATTCTGTTTACCTTGTTTGTTGTCAAAACCCAGGGCCTTTTTTTTGGAGCAGGAACTCCTTTGCATGTTAGGCCACAGACGCCTAATGTAGCCAATCCTAATGAGTTCCTGCTGTTGGGTGTGGCCAACTTAGGAGCCAGCCGGAACTCCGTTCCTGTGCGTTCCTGCCCAAAAATAGCCCTGCATTTGATCAAACTCCACACAGGATTTTAGCTTTTTCTCCACAGTGCTTTTAAAGGAAAGTATTTTTTTAACTCAATACCTGCCTTTGACTAGAACTGATGTTACTTTAGCTTAAGCCGTTTGCGTCTAAAGCCACGCCTTCACCAGCTGTAGTGTGCTTCAAATTTGGGGAATGCTTTTACAGTTCTTGCTGAGTTGGCCTCCCAAAAGTTACATGATAGTTCCTTTCTGCTTTCATATCCCACTGTTTCTCTTAAAGGAGGCGTCAAATCCTAAGCAAATTTACTTGGGGAATAAGCCTGTGGATGTCCACGACAAAATAATGTACTTGTTGAAAGTTTTTGTGTACCCACCTTTCTGCTAAATGTTTTACGAGCCAAGGGAGGTAGCAACAATATAAAAATTTGGTAAAACAAACATTAAACCTACAGGTATAAGAACACTTTAAACTAGTCTAAAAACCTTATGACCCCACCAGGAGGGTATTCCCATTCTGCCCCCAAAACACCCAGAATAACTGTTCTGCAGCCTTGCTGGGAAACCAGGAAGGCAGAAGCCACATACACCCAGGGCTATTTTTGGGCAGGAACGCACAGGAATGGAGTTCCGGCTGGCTCCCAAGTTGGCCACGCCCAGCAGGAACTCATTAGCATAATAGGCCACACCCAACAGCAGAAACTCATTAGGATTGGCTACAATTAGGGGTGTTCCTGCCCAAAAAGGAGTTCCTGCTACAAAAAAGGCCCTGGGTTATGACAACAAACAAGGTAAAGAGAATAAGAAGCAAAAGGTGGGTGTGGCTGGATGACCACACTTCTGGTAATATGGGGGTGTGGCCTAATATGTGAATGAGCTGTGCTGTCTGGGGTGTGGCTTAATATGCTAATTAGTTCCTGCTGTTGGGTATGGCCTATTATGCTAATGAGTTCCTGCTGGGCTTTTTCTACAAAAAAAGCCCTATATACACCCTAACCTCCTTTGGGAGGCTATTGCTTGGCTCAGCCGCTGAAAACTCTGGGTAGTTCCTGGCTTTTTATCTCATCCCCCTTGTGACGTTAGGCTAAGCTGAGAATCGGCACGAGGGTGCCCAAAACTGCACAGCATGAGAGACGCAGAGGATTTTAAACTTGGGTTTTCCATATCCTTTGCTTCCCTTGCCTTGCTGAGGCATCCCAAACTCCTAATGACATTTTTGGAGGGATCGTATATGAGATCTCATCTTGGCACACAGTCTATGTTTGTACCTGTTTAATCTGTTGGAGGTTCTTCAAAGCGTTTCTGTTTTCAGCAGCTTCTAACATTAAATCCTTTATTTACAGGAAGAGGATCTTTCCGGCCAATCCACTCTTCACTCACTAAAGCCGCTGTGTCTCGCCCTATCATTCCGAAGGTTCTTCCGGCACAAGCCACTAACCATCTGTCTAGTAGGTTTCTCTTTGGAAAGGGCGGGACCAGAGAGAGAGTAGCGAGTGTCGCGCAGTGCGTTTGGTAGTGAGAACCAGCAACTTAGAACACTTAGCACTCACCAGCAGTCTTCCACTCACCAGGTACTCCCAATAGTAAACCACACAGTTCAGTCCAGTGGTAACTATTTACAGGAAGTTTATTTACAGTATATACAGCTCTTGGACAAGTGCTTTGCCAGCATCCATATAACACACAAGAACACTATACAGAGATACATTTCCACATATATACTTATGTCAGCCAATCAGCACAGTGCTGACTCACTGTGACGCTGTCTTTGCCCAGACATGTCCAAACGGGCTAGATCTGGTTTGCAGTTTCTGTCAGCTGTCAGTTAGATCATGAAGATCTTAATGCTGAAGATTATACACCGACAGCGAGTGGGAGGTCATACGCTTGCTGTGAAAAAGAGAGGGACTTCTGACTGCCTTCTCCAGTCTTGCTGCACTTCCAGGGTATCCTGCTCTAAATGAGGGATACAAACTCTAGGTTGTTGGCGGAAAAGGAAGAAGGCGTCCTCTTTGACCACCCAAAAAGGCCATGCTGAGAATCACGGGACATGCATGTCAGCTTCTATGTGGAAGCGTCTATGACGTGGTGGATGTCTACCATTTTGCTGTTGGAACAGCTGATGTTAAGGACTCTCTAACCCTTTTCCTCCTCTGTTCAAAGGTACGATCGATCTGGCAGCTCAAAGCGCTGGTATCATCCCAGGCAGCCCTTTGCCCGTCCTGGATGCTGAAGGCTTATCAGGCGTTTCCCCGTTGTCTCCGGATGCCATGACTGCCGTGGTCACGGGGCAGGACTCAACGGTGGTGCATCAGAATGGAGGTGCCCTGGCTTCTGTAACGGTCAGTTCTTTTCCTCTTCAGTTCTTCTGAATGGCTTTTAACGCTGCCGACAAAGTATACACCAGATGGACAGCCAAACACCCAGTGAGATTCGAATTTGGGGCCCAATTTCCTCTGTTGCCTACTTTTTATCCCCTTACCAAATAAAGGCTGCGGTCACACGGAGCATTAGCCACGCTACAGAGACGGATTTTCCGGGCGCGATCACACCGCCACATCTGGGAAGCGTAGAGCTCCCGTGGCTCACCCGAGGCTTCCCTCCGAAGATGCGGGGTAAAAAACTAGTTACTCCAAGGTACTAGTTTCCAGAAACCGCGGGGCAAGGGCGGGCGTCTGATCGCGTTTCCGGTGGCATCCGGCGCCCACCCATGTCCCCTCGCAAAAAGGTTTTTTCCCCCACAAGTCTCCATGGGATGCGCGCAAGCACCCAACGGAACATGCGCACACTTCAGTTTTTTTTAAAAAACACAACCCCGTTTGCTGCGCCCCTCCGCTTCTTTGCCTGTGGTGTGATCGGCACCTCCCCCCTAACCACGGGACCTCGAGGGACCTCAACCAGACGTCTGATCGCGCAGCCGCGCGTTATTTTGCTCCGGGGCAAACAGCCACGCTTCCCTCCCCCCGCTTTTTCCGGCCCGCGTGACAGGGACCTAAGTTTTCCCAGAGAGGCTCCCAGGGGAGAGAAGGAAGGGAAGGTGAAGATGGGGGGCAGATAAAGGTACATTGGTTGGGGGGGGGAACGCCCAAGGATCCCGCGTGACTAGAAAACCCTCTCTCCAGTATTGCACAAACCTATCCATTCCAGGGGAGGTTACTGTGGCCCCCTGAATATTATTAGCCACTTAACCTCCGGCGGTGCTGTTCCTAGCAGGCACACTCATTTTTTCTTTTCTTACCCTCCTCCTAACTCATACCCTGAAAAGTTCGTTGTGCATTCACCCCCCACCCCGGGTCACTTCGTTTTTGTCCCCACTCTCTTCCCGCCAACAGCCTGATGCCATTCTCATCCCAAGGCCCTGTGTGAGATGATCTCATACAAACACACACATGCTTTCGTTGCCCCACCCGCTATTCAGGTACAGCTATTGGAGCACGTGTCCAAACAAGCCCTAAGATCTGTGGTTGAGAGGAACGGCCAGAAAGTGTGAATGCGGCATCTGTTGAAGAAGCAACAGGGGCTTATTTATTTATTTATTTATTTATACTTTCAATTTCTATACCGTTCAATCCCGGAGGCTCTGAGCGGTTTACAAGCATTTTACATTCCTAACTAGAGCCACATACAATGTATATATATAGGGAGGTGAGTGTCTACCAGGCACCCTGCCGGCGCGTTTCCTTCTGCCGCTTCCTTACGGTGGAATCTTGTCTCGGCGGGCTCCGCAGCAGCTCCTTCTGGGGAGGCTCCCGTAGTCTGCGACTGTGCGACGACTTTCCTGCACTGGCCTCTGTCCAATTGGCTCCGGCCATGCAACGTCACCGCGTTGTCGCGTCTCAGGGCCAATCTCCGTCTCTAGCGATTGCTGCTTGGTGTTAAATCACCGCTTGGAGCTGGGTCACAAATCAGGGTCCCTGTTGGGGCCAGTGTTCCCTCTAAGCTGAGTCAGTGTGAGCCAGCTCACAGTCTTTTAGCCTCCAGCTCACACATTTTTGTCTTAGCTCAGGAAGGATGGCTCCAAAGCCAACTGTTCTATGCAGTATCCAAATCGCTCGCTCACAGCTTTAATGCCAGCGGCTCACAAAGTAGAATTTTTGCTCACGAGACTCCACAGCTTAGAGGGAGGCATTGGTTGGGGCCCAAGTCTTGTTCCTCAAACCTACAGTCTGATCCCATCAGCCCAAACCTCCTCCTCTTGCAGGTGTTGCAGCACTTGGAATTGTTCAGAGTTTGGGCAAAGCAGTGGGTGGGGAGGTCACCAGGACAAATGGCAAATAAAACAGAATTAAAATAGGAATAAAACTCACCATATTTAGCAGAGTTGACTGACATCCTTTTATATGTGTGCTTTCAACTGGTTTTAAAATGTATAAATGGTACTGATATTTTATGCCAATAAAGGCTGACTTGACTTGACTTGACTTGTCATCCACAAGCTTTCCCTAACCAGGTAGGCCACTCCAGTCAGAGGGTGGCAGACCAATTACAACTTGGAATGTGTGACTAAAATATTCTTGGCTTGCTTTTCTTCCAGGGTTCAGGCACCGAATGCCGGGTTCCTTTCCTTGGTCTCTCATCACAGCCTGACCAAGAAGCAATCCCTGATGGCTTCCAGGTAGAGTACGAGTCCCCTGAGTGACAGCTGCTCTAATTGTATGGCGATGTCCTTCCTTACCTGAGCATACCCTACACAGAATGCACATAAAGGTTTTTATCATATGCAGGGCTTTTTTTTGTAGAAAAAGCCCAGCAGGAACTCATTAGCATAATAGGCCACACCCAACAGCTGAAACTCATTAGAATATTAGGCCACACTCCGACACCACCCCTCATTAGCATATTAGGCCGCAGCCCCATGTTGCCAGAAGTGTGGTCATCCAGCCACACCCACCTTTTGCTTCTTATTCTGTTTGTTGTTTTTTGTAGCAGGGACTTCTTTGCATGTTAGGCCACACACGCCTACTGTAGCCAATCCTAATGAGTTTCTGCTGTTGGGTGTGGCCTATTATGCTAATGAGTTCCTGCTGGGTGTGGCCAACTCAGGAGCCAGCTGGAACTCCGTTCCTGTGCGTTCCTGCCCAAAAATAGCCCTGAATATGTATTGGTTGGGGTGAGTCCAACTCTGCATATAAATATCTGCAGTGGGGCTTATAACAATAAGAATTCTTTCAAAATCAAACATGAGAAAAAGAAAACAAGATAAAAAAGCAACAAAAGAGAGGGGGAAAATGCGATAAAACTAAAATAGAGCCAGGTGTAGCCCAGGCTGGTCCTGTCTTACCAGATCTTGTGAGCTAAGCGGGCTTGGCCCTGGTTGCTATTTGGATGGGAGACCACTCAGGAAGTCTAGGGTTGCTGTGGAGAGGCAGGCAATGGCCAACCACCTCTTCATGCCTGTTGCCTTGGAAACCCCACAGGGTCTCCATAAGTCAGCTGCAACTTGATGGCAGGAAGTTCTTTTAAAAGCAGCCAGGATAAGCCTATTAAAAAAAAACAATCAGAGGACAGAAATGAATAGAACTCCACTGGGGTGTGAAACTTCCTTAGGGCCTGTTTCAGGAACACTTCTAGGGTCATTCCAAAAGCTGCTGCAGTATCCACTCAGGACTAGGTTTAAGTCCAAGAGACCCGATTTTAGCTGCGGCCTTGAGCCAGAAGAGTTGTGGGCAATGTGCACGATTGTCCCCAGCCCAGAAACAGAACCGAGCAGACCGAAGGACAAGGTTTTGTCCGTCTCATAGTGCAGTCCTAAGTACGATTAGGACCAGGGCCGGCCCCAGCTTATTTTGCACCCTAGGCGGGGATCCCTTCTGGCGTCCGCCTCCCCGTGCGCCCACCAATTTCCAAAAATAAATGCATTTTAGGAAGAATGAGAAACACAAATAATCAAGAAACTCCCAGACTACGGGGCCGGGTGCAGTTTGGCGCCCCTAAGGGCCGGCCCACTCTAGGCGATCGCCTAGTTCGCCTAGTGAGTGAGCCGGCCCTGATTAGGACCCTTCTAAGTCTCCATTGAAGTCAGTGGGCTTGGAAGGGTACAGCTCTTCTTAGGCTTGCATTGTTGGTGTCCCATCTTATCAGTGCGACCATGTCTGGGTAGGACTGGACAGGGGAGAAGTGACTGGCAAAGAAGTGTAAGTGGAATCGCCAGCTCACAGCCTGGCAGAAGCTTCTGTGCCTTTTAACAGGAAAAGGGCCATCAGAACAGCATCAGAAGATTTTTATTTATTTATTTGTTAAATTAGAGCCCCTGAGCGAGGCTGCCGAACTGCACATGTGTGCGCATGCGCAGTTCGGCTGGGAGCCTGGATTGCTCTGAACGACGGGTGCGGCGGCGATCCCACGGCCACGCTTGCTGCGGTGCTTCAGGTAAGTCTTCCTCTGTAGGAGGTTCTTTTTTGCAGCGGCTTTTCTGGGTTTAGGGACAGATCGGGGACGGGTGCGCACCGCTTCCCAGATGTTGCGGTGAGATCGCGCCCGTTTGCTGCGCCCCCGATCTGTCCCTCTCCCGGGCCAAAATCTTCCGTGTGCCCGGGGCCCCAATTTGCTAGGCCATCCTTCCCGAGAAGTATTCCAACCTATGCTTTCTGCTTGTTAAACAGGGAACGCCAGTTCTTTCTCTACCTGAACTTCCCAAAACCACTCTCCAGAATGGCCTCCCCGTTCCTCCGCTTTCCTCCTCCGAAGCTTCCACCACCCGCCTGTCTCCTCCCAACGTCTCTGCCCTCCTGGACATCTCTCTTCCTGGACCCCCTGAGGACGTGCTGTCTCAGGGAGAGCCCGCCACTCAGATCAGCGACTCGATCATTGAAATTGCGATCAGCTCTGGTCAGTACGGTAAGAGACGACACCAAGTTGAACAGTCATGGGTCTTTGAACCTGCAGAATCTCAGCACCGCTCTGGTTTGGTGGCTCCTCACCTTTCCCCCCACCTTAAGAGGTTTCAGTGAAGGAAGGTTCTCTTAAAGAACAGCTGCCCGTTTGAAATGTTTAGCTGCCTCCTTGTAGTTCTTCTGGCTTGCTGAACTCACTGCAGATTCTTGACAGAATTCCATCTTCATGATTTTGATTGTAGATCCGTTAATGAGGTAGATCCTACTCCCGTCCCGTCACTCCACTCAACAAAACTTGGAGCCGTCCTCCAACTTAAAAGTGGCCTGCTGCAACTTGAGTGGCTTCCATTGCAGGCAGGCTTCCTGGGCTGGGGGAAAACTCCTTACAGGATGGTTGGCTCTACCCCCCATTATTTTTGTGAGCCTTGCTTAAGGCAATGAGAAGGGAACTTGCATAGGCATGTGAGAAAGAAATCATTTGAACATTTTAGGGAGCATGTAGTACAGTCCTTCATGCAACTGTACTACTTTACAGTGCACACTCTTTTCTGCAATTGGGAATCTTACAGGGAGGAGAAACAGTTGTAGAGATGCAAGGAAGTGCTAGGTTGGGGGGGAGATGCTTTTGGCCAAGCAGTCCCTCGTGTACATTGAGAGCCAGTTTGGTGTAGTGGATAAGTGCACGGACTCTAATCTGGGAGAACAGGGTTTGATTCCCCACTCCTCCACTTGCACCTGGCTGGATGACCTTGGGCAAGCCGTAGTTCTGATAAGAGCTGTTCTTGAAAAAGAGCAGTTTCTGTCAAGAGTTCTCTGAGCCCCACCGACCTCACAGGCTGTCTGTTGTGGGGAGGGGAAGGGAAAGGAGATTGTAAACTGCTCTGAGACTCCTTTGGGTAGTGAAGGGCGGGGTATAAATCCAATCTCCTTCTTCTTCTTCTATATTACAAGGTGGCACACAGTCATGCCAGGGACTCTACCGCATATGTCCTCTGAATGTTTGAATTGCCTGCATGACACTGAAAAAACAAACAAACAGAGCTTGGCTGAAGGGAGATAATAATGAGGGGAAAGTTGAGCAGCTTTTTAAAATTGGTGTTGGAGGAAGAGACTGCAAACCATGGACCACCCCCACAGGAAGGACAGTGGGGGAGGCATCCCAAATAAAAAGTCACCTGATTGGCTGCCAACAGCTGTCGTCTTCTGTTGTTGAACGGGTCGGGAGGGAGTAATCTGGTTCTCCGCCTCCTGTGTGGGCCACACCAAATGCTTGGCTGGAACAAACCAAGGAGGAGGTTACTTCTGCCTCAGCAGGCACTGCTGGCTCAAGGTCTTACAGGGCTCTTTTTGTAGAAAAAGCCCAGCAGGAACTCATTAGCATAATAGGCCACACCCAACAGCAGAAACTCATTAGCATATTAGGCCACACCCCCTGACAGCACAGCTCATTAGGCCGCACCCCCATGTTACCAAAAGTGTGGTCATCCAGCCACACCCACCTTTTGCTTCTTATTCTGTTTACCTTGTTTGTTGTCAAAACCCAGGGCTTTTTTTGTAGCAGGGACTCCTTTGCATGTTAGGCCACACACCCCTAATGTAGCCAATCCTAATGGATTTCTGCTGTTGGGTGTGGCCTATTATGCTAATGAGTTCCTGCTGGGCGTGGCCAACTCGGTAGCCAGCCGGAACTCCGTTCCTGTGCGTTCCTGCCCCAAAATAGCCCTGCTCAAGGACGCCAGTCTTTCACTTTCCGTATTCCAGCTTTGTGTCTGATTGGAACAGTCACTGGAAGGTCCCACCCCTGCTTTGTTTTCACAGGTGAAAGTGTTTCTCTGTCTCCGGCGAAGCTGAATGGCAGCGATAGCTCCAAAAGTCTTCCGTCCCCTTCCTGTAGCCCTCAGCAGAACTGGATTGCCTCTCCCACCCATGACCCTCAGTGGTACCCGAACGACTCCACTGACTCTTCCCTCAGCAGCTTATTTTGTGAGTGTCTCGACCTAGGAAATTTGTGCTGCCTTCCTCGTCTCAAAAGCTGTCTCTGTCTTCCCCCTTGGGCACCGTTTGTCCAAAGCGCTTATCGAGGCTGCCTGAGAGTCAGAGGACTGAACTGGAATATTTATACGCTGAACGTAACGGATGCTGTTTTCACGATCACACATAGAAAGCACTGCAGCTGGTTGTTTGCAAACTCTTTGCCGCCTTTCCGTCGAACATGGGGATCCAAGACGGCTTTGGAGCATTTGCTAAAACGATAAAGGAAAGCCCGCTAGGAGCACTAGCATAATATACTGACGAGCAGCTTAAAAATGAGGCTGGGAAGAGTGCAGCGTCCAAACTGCCTTAGGGGCTGCGGTCAGAGGGCTTGCATGCCAATAGCCTGTGCCAGGGCTTTTTTGGTAGAAAAAGCTCAGCAGGCACCCATTAGCATAATAGGCCACACCCAGTAACAGAAACTCATTAGCATATTAGGCCACACCCCGGACAGAACAAGTTATTAGCATATGAGGCCACACACCCGTGGTACCAGAAGTGTGGTCATCCAGCCACACCCACCTTTTGCTTCTTATTCTGTTTACCTTGTTTGTTGTCAAAACCCAGGGCTTTTTTTGAAGCAGGAACTCCTTTGCATGTTAGGCCACACACCCCTAATGTAGCCAATCCAAATGAGTTTCTGCTGTTGGGTGTGGCCTGTTATGCTAATGAGTTCCTGCTGGGCGTGGCCAGCTCTGGAACCAGCCGGAACTCCGTTCCTGTGCGTTCCTGCCCAAAAATAGCCCTGGCCTGTGCAAACAGATTTTCTCTAGTGCCTGAAAGACATCTGAAGTGATACCAGGACAGATCTTCCCTCCAGAGAGAGCTCCACAGCCAAGAGTGCAACTGGAGGGAAATGCCCCCTGTCTGGTCCATCTGATCTCCGTGTCAGGAGCACCCGGAGAAGAGTCTCCAAAGACCTTCTCAGCAGAAGGGCAGCTCCGGGTGGGCGGAGGTCGTCCTCCGATCCACGATCTAAATGATTGGCTGGAGGAATAAAATCAAAACCATAGATGGCCCCTGGAATTGTTCTACAAAGTGCCATACCTCTTTCTCTCCTGTTCCAGGGCTGTTTCCTTGGTTCACTGTGATTGAGAGCTGAAATCTGCAGTCAGGTGTGCATGTGGCTGCCATCTCAACACAGGCACTAATATGTGTAAAGAGGCCACACCTGGCTGGCCTGGGTCAACTCCTAGAATCCAGCCACCTTTTACAACTGAACATTGTCAATTCTGACAGTCGCACTCCGTTGATGCTGAGGGCTGGATCCAGTTTACATTGTCCCCTTATACAAGGCATATTTGTCAGTGGAGCAGAATATCCCCCACCCTGCAGCCCACTGATCGCCCCAAGGTGCTGCTTCTGGGGGACGGGACCCTCAGGAACAGCCTGAGAGGCAAATCGGGGTATCTGCAGCAGAAAGAGGGGAATTAGGAGAAATCCTCCCACCTCTTCCCATGGCAGAAAATGTAGCTGGATCCAGCTATTATTTTATTTTGCATAAAAATGTAGAAACAGGAAGGTTATTTGGGGGGGGACACACACACAAAAAGTTAGCTAGCAAATTAGGTTCTGAATAGCTGTGAGTGGTATATACACATATGTCACCATTAGCAGGGGAGAAACTGATTTTAGGTCCTTGAACCAGGGACAGTTTAAGTGGAGTGTTGCTTAAGTCTGGGAAGGCCAATTAGCAGCTTGTGGGACCTGCCTTGTATCTTTCTTTCCCCCCCTTTCCAAAAACCGAAAGGTCCTGCCACTAACTTGCTTCCTGGTTCATTTTGTTTTGCAGCGAGCTTCCTTTCGCCAGAGAAGGGCCGGAAAATGCTGCCCACCTCCTTAGGTGCCGCCGGCAGCACCTCCTTGTTGGGACCCAGTCTGCTGGATGGGAACTCGCGGGACTCCTTTGTGTCTCGTTCCATAGCAGATGTAGCTGAGGTACTTCACACGGTCAATGTTACGGTTCCAATCAAAAGCATCTGGAGCAATAACTTTCGCAAGGGCTGCATCTCTTGGAGACTAGTTGTGTATGTGTGTCAGGGTGCATTAAAAAAACCTAGGACTCTGGGGGGGGAAACAACCCCACCCAAAAGACACACACGGTCCCGAGACAGTGTGATATGTTGGGTGACCTTGGGCCAGTTGCAGGGGGCCCCCCCTTAGGCTACCTCACGGAGTCATTGTGAGGACTGAACGGAGAAGGAGAGGTCTATATACACTGCCCTGTGCTTCTTGGAAGAAGGGGAAGGGTAAAAATGTAATACAGACAGGATCTTTAGAATTCAAGTTATGGTCAGATCGTAATCCCCTAGGTGGCTTTTCCAAACCACCAGTTGTAGCATGCTTGAACACAGACTCCTGCTGTCAGGTCAGTGGTACAATATCCAATCCATGTGGAGGCAGGAGAAGGGTGGGGCATGCTGAAAGTATTTCCCAACAACCGAAGTGTTTTCTTCAGGAGAGACCAAATGGTGTAGTGGTTAAGTGCGCGGACTCTAATCTGGGAGAACCGGGTTTGATTCCCCACTCCTCCACTTGCACCTGCTGATGTGACCTTGGGTCAGTCACAAGCTCTGGCACAGCTGTCCTTGAAAAAGAGCAGTTTGTGTCAGAGTTCTCTCAGCCCCACCCACCTCACAGGGTGTCTGTTGTGGGGAGGGGAAGGGAAAGGGGAAAGGAGTTTGTAAGCCGCTCTGAGACTCCAAGTGAAGAGCGGGGTATGAATCCAATCTTCTTCTTCTTCTTCTTCTTCTTGTCCTCTGAAGTAATAAAACTGAAAAGGGTGTGTAGATTGAAACGATGGAAAGTGTAGATTGAAACGATAGAAGGATCTCTGAAATAATAGCCTGCACACACACAGACACCCCCGCACAGAATCTGGCGTTCCAGGTCAGTTCGTGGAAAGTGTAGCCCTGTCTGCCTAGTAAAATTAGGAGAGCTGAATATTCCAAAGTTTCAGGGTTTTCATTTCTTCTGTATAAATTGTTCATACGGAAGGGGCAGCTAACATAATTTGGAACAGGGCCGGCCCCAGGTTTTTTTGCACACTAGGTGAGGATACCTTCTGGCGCGTGCGCCCCCCAATTTTCAAACATAAATGCATTTTAGGAAGAATGAACAACACAAAATCTGAAAGGTTGTGAGGTCGGGGGGGGGGCTGAGAGAGCTCTTTCGAGGACTGCCCTTGAGAGAACAGCTCTGAGAGAACTTGTGACTGAGCCAAGGCCACGCCAGCAGCTGCAGGTGGAGGAGGAGTGGGGGAATCCAACCCGGGTCACCCAGATTAGAGTCTGCGCTCCTAACCACTAATTCCTGGGGGTGGGGAGGCCAGTGGCTCCTGCTCCTCCAAGAGGAGGACGGCTGCGCTTCTGAGTGCACTGAAAGACCCGGCGGCATGCAGCAGTCACCCACCCAGTCAAGAAAGTTGCAGGGCTTTTGGTGGGGGAGCCTGGTGCCAGTTTGGCGCCCCTAAGGGCCGGCGCGCTCTAGGCGAGCGCCTAGTTTGCCTAGTGAGCGAGCCGGCCCTGTTTGGAACAGAACTGTCTGCTCAGAAAAAGGCATGAGACACAGTGCTGCTGGGGCTGTGCCATTTCAGAACTGGGGGTAGGGGCAGAAGAAGAAGAGTTGGTTTTATACCCTGCCCTTCAGTACCAAAAGGAGTCTTGGAGCGGCTTACAATCTCCTCCCCTTCCTCTCCCCACAACAAACACCCTGTGAGGTAGGTGAGGCTGAGAGAGCTCTGAGAAAGCTGCGACTGATCCAAGGTCACCCAGCTGGCTGCATGTGGAGGAGTGGGGAATCAAACCCGGTTCTCCAGATTAGAGTCTGCTGCTCTTAACTGTTACAACAAACTGCAAGAGAATCAATATGCTAGAATTGTCCTTTACAGCAAACATTTAAACCACCTTGTGTGTAGAAAGCCTGGTCTTCAGGGAGAAGAGTCTTCTCCAGGATATACTTGTATTTCATGCACAGAGAGTTTTGTGAATTGGAGGAGCCATTCAGACATGTGAGCCCCTCTCTGCTTCATCCTGTAATGGTGTGGTCCATGTTCCCTCTAAGCTGAGTCAGTGTGAGCTAGCTCACAGTTTTTTAGCCTCCGGCTCACACATTTTTTGTCTTTGCTCAGGAAGGATGGCTCCAGAGCACACTCATTGATGCAGTAGCCAAATCTCTTGCTCACAACTTTCATGACAGTAGCTCACAAAGGAGAATTTTTGCTCACAAGACTCCACAGCTTAGAGGGAACATTGTCCATGAGTTGTGCCATAACCTTCTCAGAAAATGCGGAATGGCCTTACTAGGAAAATGGAGGGATGTATGATTTATCCAGAATTTCTCATTGTGAATGATGAATTCTTTCCAAATTCTATAAACCCTGTCTCATCTAGAATAAATCATTTATTGTAAATGAGACAGGTTGACGTCATCTTCACACAGAACGGGAACATTTTCTGTGCAGAGTTCGTGCTTTCTTGTTCCACAAAAGGCCAGTGGTCCAGCTAGGTAACTTCAGACTCTGAACTGAATGGCTTTATGGGAGTGGGTGGACTTCCCTTTAGCTGGCGGTGTATATTTAAAATGCAAGGCTAGAATGAGGACTGGGCGGACTCGTTTTGTCCCATCCTGCCATCTCTACAGAGAAACACACATGGAGAGCGACCTACTCCTAAGCATGCATATGCCGGCCTAAGTCCCACAGTGCTCAGTGGGGCTTTCTAGCTGCAGAGTCCTTTTGCTGGGACCCCCCCCCCCCCCAGCCCCAAGAGCCGCCCCCCCGAGGCACCCCCACCATGAGGCAGCATCCCTGATGCACCACTGCCCAGAGTGCGCCCTGCCCCGGCATACATGCTGGAGTTTCCTATGGCCAGGGCTTGTATTCTGCTACTTTGACCGCTTAAAACTGTCGTCGTTTGGTAGATATTAGTTACAAGAATGGGCACAGTGATAAGATCAATGAAAAAGAGGGGGGGGGGAACTGTGACAATTTAGCGCTTGGTAATATTTAGCTGCGGTGCCTCAAGTGGTTAAGACGCTGAACTGCGGGCTGTGGAAGGTCAGTAGTTCAGCAGTTCAAGACCCGAGTGCGCCGCATGATGGAGTGAGCTCCCATCTCTAGTTCCAGCTCCTGCCAACCTAGCAGTTCGAAAGCAAGAAATTGCAAGTAGATAAATAGGGACCACTTCGGTAGGAAGGTAACAGCCTTCCGTGGGCCTTGGTGTTTAGTCATGCCGGCCACATGACCACGGAAACGTCTTTGGACAGCGCTGGCTCTTCGGCTTGGAAACGGAGATGAGCACCGCAACCCTAGAGTCGGACTCGACTGGCTTTCGAGCAAGGGAACCTTTACCTTTTACCTAACCCCCGTATGGTGTCTATAAAAGTATGTTTTTCTTAATGCAGAAAGACTGCACGAAGAGCAGTTGCAGCATAAGCCAGGATTTAGGCTGTGAGGTTCATTCTGAACAAGGATGTGTACATAGACTGTCAACAATTCATATCTCTTGGTGACGTATTGAAAAGATACTGTTGATTCACTTCATCATAAAGCTATGCTTACAGCTATGTTCTTCAACGAGCTGTAATTATACGTCACCAAGAGATATGAATTGTTGAAAGACAGTTTATGTACACATCCTTGTTCAGAAGAAGATCATTGTCAAAACGGCACACCATTCCGGAGACCACCGTCTACATTCAGTGTATATATTACTTATTTTCTGTTACCGTATACTATGATTTATGAATATATTACCAAGCTCCCCTTTTTTTTCATTGTCGTTGGTAGATATGACATAACCCTCGCTCGTTCCTTTCTTTCCCTTTGCAGGTAGATTCCCAGTTGGCTTGCATGATGAATGAGAACAGTATAGATTACATCTCGCGTTTCAATGATCTCGCCCAGGAGTTGTCGATACCCGAGCCGACCCGCCGAGAAATCCTCTTTGACGGAGGGGGAGGAGGCAGTGGCGGCCCTCCCATTGGTGACCTCTCGCAGTGAGCGCCTTCGACCAGCTGGCTGGTGGAAACTGTTGGACTGGCCAGAACCTAGAGAGGAGCAGCCGGTGGCTTAGCTATGCAGCTGATAACCTTGGGTAGCTCCGGTGAGAGCATGCCTCGTACAAAGAGCAGCACCGTCTTCGAGCATCAACTGTTCCTGGAATGTGCAATATGCTAGGAACAACACAATTGGGAGCAGTATTATTGGAAATTTAACACATAGTAAGCTGGGGACTAAACAGAGTTTACACAACGGACCCAGACTCGTGGTCCGAAATGGTCTGGGCAGCAAAATTGACAAGATACTTTTTAAAAAAAATATATAGTAAACCAAAACCCTTTTTGTGGTATCCACATGGTTGGGGGAATGTGTGTGTGTGTTTAAAATGCTCATCATTTCTCAATCAGTTGCAGTTGGCATGGTTGACAGATCCAGCCGAATCAATATTCTTTGCACTTTCCATAACAGGCGGCTGTTAATTCCACAACGCTTTTGCCAGAGTTCTCTCTCCTTTGCTATAAAGTTCATCAACATTCCAGTGTGACACAGAAAGCCTGTATCCATTCCCATTTTCAAGCGCTGGGGTCACTTGCCGAGAAGTCTGTGAAAGTTTTCCTTCTGTCTGTCTTTATCCTAGGCTGCCCCTTCACCAAAGGGCTTGTATATTGCAGTTTTCTCTTGAGGGCTAGAAACTTTGCAAAGGGACTTTGGTGACGGTCCCAATTAACCTCCCCCCTCCAGTTTGTGCATTTTCCTAAGTGCCCCATTGATGATCTTACAGCGGAGTCCTGTGCAGAGCTACAACTGTCTAAACCCACTGATTTCAACCCTGCACAGGGTTGCTCCATCAGTTACAAATATTCATTTTTAAAAAACGAACAGAAAAAACTTACTTTTCCCTACGACAGGACAGGTGACGTGGTCTTCAGTTGCAAAACGGTGGTCTCCAAACCCAGTTTAATCTGCTTGTCTTTGCTAATCTTACTTGTGCACTTTTTGACCTGGTGTTTGCTCACCTGTGTCATTGGGTCCAGAACACTCTTGCTCCGAGCTTAAGACGTGTACCTGCTAACATTCAATCCCTGGACTCCAGTCCCAATAGAGACCAGGTTTAACTAAAAAGTGTATTTTTCCCCCCTTCCTGTGCCACGTAACAGGAGCCTCTCTCTGTGCACCCAGCCCCCCACCCCTGACCCTCTAAACTGCTCTTCAGCTCTTGTGGGCAGTCCCCTATTGCAGCTGTATGAATGGCTACTTGTGGTTCACACAAACCCTCTAGTCACAATAAGGCTTGATTTGTAGAATACATACGGCACTCTGGGGGTGCCCTCTGTCTGCCTCATGGTTTTTCTCAAGTGCTTGATTGGGAAGATGGCGCTGGGAGTCTAACAGTGCAATCCTAAGTGTCTATCAAGGATCTGTTAGCTTAGAAGAACGTAGCTCTGCTTAGGATTGCCCTGTGGCCGAACAGAACTGATTGTCCCTGGCAAACAGGCCAAAAACCACAGCCAGTCACTAGGAGCTCCTTGATAGTTAAGGACTCTTCCCCCACCCTTTTTAAAAAAAAATCTGCAGAGAAATGTTTTTATTCAGTTGGGCATTAGGAAACTTCTCCAGTCTGTGAAGTTAAATGACTGTTACCACTTGCCGATCATTGGGCTAGGAAGTTCTTAGCAATCTAAGCTTTCCTAGATAAAGGAACAAAAGAAGCTCAAAATTGTGCCTGTAGTGGCTTGATTATCCTTTTAGCATGACCCTTTTGCTCAAGATTATTGGTCGTCCTCCTCATGCCGTTGACTAGAATGCTTTTCAGGATCAGGGATGGACAGACAGTCTTATTCCAGTCCAAATAAATCTTGGATGCTACTAATGGTAATAGTGGTCCAGCGGCTCTGACGTGCTGCGCGGAGCTTCACATCTTCTGGGGTGGTTCGGGGTTTTTTTGCAAGCAGAGGGTTTTCAGTGCACAGCAAGGAGTCCCTGGGTGTCGCTGAAACATGTCCGTTACGGGCAGGGGGGATAATGGGAACTTTGGTGTATGCAGAGGATTGTTATTTTTTGCAAGTTTTGGATATGCATTTGGCATTGTGTCCAATATTTATCACTCTGTCAAAAAAAAAATCTTGTTCTGCCTGGCATTTGGATTTTGCCAGAGCATTTAAAACAGAGCCTGCTTTTCTGCTCAATGTCATTCACACGTTGTCAACAGAGGAGGCATCTCTGACATGCAGTTGTTTTTTTTAAAAAACAAAACTCTTCTGCTTACATTTTGGGGCAGTTTCATGTTAAAGAAGGAGTATTTAAAAGTTGTTAATACAGGTCTGCAATACAAAAAAAAATCACGATGCCTTCATTTTCTGTTTTTGGGTTGGAACTAGTGGAGTGTTTCCACAGGCACAAGGTCTTGTGCTTGTGGAACATGACTTTCTTCCCCCCTCCCTTCCGACGGAAGCCCAGAATGTGCTATGAAATCCTTTCCCTAGAGGTCCCCTTCCCCCCTGGACATTTTGGGCTGCCGTCTCACTCTGCGGACACAAGTCCTTGTACCCTTGGAAACTGGATCCAACCCTTGATTTGGTTATTACATCTGTGTGTTATCTCCTCTGCCCTTCTATTCCTTGGCACCCATTTATAAAATGATGGCTTTTGCATGGGGCTTACAAAGGTCTCCATCCACTGTATCTCTGGATTGTTTGGCTGCTCCGTCCTGAATGGGATCCTGCTTATCAGGTCTCCGTCCCTCTTGTACTGACAAATGTCCCTTCTGCCACCAGCCTCCTCCCTCGATGAAGAGATCGAATGGTATAATAGCTATTTTTATCTGTTGTGAAGTCAGCAGATTTTAATAGTCTTGGTCACTTGGGAGTACAACCAGAGCATCAGAAAAATTAAGACAAAGGTTGGGAACAGGCAAGTTGCTGCTGGACCAACACTAAACAGTGAAGTGGGCAGGGGGGATAATGGGAACTTTGGTGTATGCAGAGGATTGTTATTTTTTGCAAGTTTTGGATATGCATTTGGCATTGTGTCCAATATTTATCACTCTGTCAAAAAAAAAATCTTGTTCTGCCTGGCATTTGGATTTTGCCAGAGCATTTAAAACAGAGCCTGCTTTTCTGCTCAATGTCATTCACACGTTGTCAACAGAGGAGGCATCTCTGACATGCAGTTGTTTTTTTAAAAAAACAAAACTCTTCTGCTTACATTTTGGGGCAGTTTCATGTTAAAGAAGGAGTATTTAAAAGTTGTTAATACAGGTCTGCAATACAAAAAAAAATCACGATGCCTTCATTTTCTGTTTTTGGGTTGGAACTAGTGGAGTGTTTCCACAGGCACAAGGTCTTGTGCTTGTGGAACATGACTTTCTTCCCCCCTCCCTTCCGACGGAAGCCCAGAATGTGCTATGAAATCCTTTCCCTAGAGGTCCCCTTCCCCCCTGGACATTTTGGGCTGCCGTCTCACTCTGCGGACACAAGTCCTTGTACCCTTGGAAACTGGATCCAACCCTTGATTTGGTTATTACATCTGTGTGTTATCTCCTCTGCCCTTCTATTCCTTGGCACCCATTTATAAAATGATGGCTTTTGCATGGGGCTTACAAAGGTCTCCATCCACTGTATCTCTGGATTGTTTGGCTGCTCCGTCCTGAATGGGATCCTGCTTATCAGGTCTCCGTCCCTCTTGTACTGACAAATGTCCCTTCTGCCACCAGCCTCCTCCCTCGATGAAGAGATCGAATGGTATAATAGCTATTTTTATCTGTTGTGAAGTCAGCAGATTTTAATAGTCTTGGTCACTTGGGAGTACAACCAGAGCATCAGAAAAATTAAGACAAAGGTTGGGAACAGGCAAGTTGCTGCTGGACCAACACTAAACAGTGAAGTCTGTGGAGCAGATCTTACTATTTCAAATTATTTGGTGCACATATGTTTCTTCCAGGCCATCATTAATCATATCCTTTGTCTCTGAGGGTTTTTATTTTACTGTTTTCACAGTCTTTATTTGGACTTTTGTCTCTTTCACATACAGTGTTTGGATTTAATTTTGTTTCCAGGTACCTAGTCCTCATTGTTCAAATACAAATACTAACTTTGGCCATGTCATAATGTTGGCTGCCATTGAACACTTAGGTGTCCATTTGATTCTAGTGCTGTGAAGAGGAAGTGCTCGCCTCTCTGAATGCAGGTGTTTCTGCAGCTTGAATTATGCTTTGAACCAAGAAAAAAAAAAAGGTTTTCCAGTTTTTCGTTGCTGGGTACATTTTGAGTAAGTTCTAAGTGACCGGCAGGCCATGGTCGCTTCTAAGCTAAATTCTCCTACTGCCTTATTTCACATTTGCCTGAACAAAGGCTGTCCCTGTGATGAATCCCTTTCCGTTTGTGAATCCGATTCCTGTAAAACATCAGCCTTTGACATTCTTTTGACATTGCATGGTTGATGGACGAGGACGTGGTAAAGCGGCCTGCCTGAGAATTTGTGTGCAATGACGACAAAATTGCAGTGGCGGTCAGATAATTGGGGTAGGAGCCTGTTGGGTAAGGTTTAAGAAGAATGCAAGCCAGAGGGTGGATCAGCCACCTTTGTGGAGTGCCTGTATAGGAAAGCGATGGGTCACCTCGTTCGCGTCACTGCATTTTTATTTATTTTTTAATCACCAGGAGCAAAAGCCCTCAGGAACTCCTGCTGTACAAGCTCCAGTGAAAGGAGCAGAAATTGTGCAGGAACGAATTTTCCATGAATGCTGCCCATGGCTACACAGAGCAGAGGGTCCCCCCCCCCATGTTATTTGACAGTGCCTTTCTAAGCAGAGTTACACCTTTCTAAACCCATTGACTTAATGAATTTCAAGGGATGTAACTTTGCCTGGGACGGCAGGCTTTAGCCAGCTCTTATCACCTTTATTTTTCCATTTCTTCTTTCCAGCTACTTTAAATACCTTGGGTCACGCTGTATCTACTGAGATAAGTCTTGTTTGCTGGCTCGATGGCTCCTTCCTGGGGTTTTAGCTCTGTCTTGTAGGGTGTGCGTGCTTTGTTTTGTTTTTTTAAACACACACAAGATACACACGCCGGATGCATTTGTGAGGAGCAAGCTGCACTTTGATTTTCCCCAGGCCCTTTAAAGATTCTCTCCTGACTTCACAGTGAACTGTATATGCTAAATGAGTGAAAACGTTTGCAAGGACTACAGCAATGAGTTACCACGCGTTGCCAAAATGAGATAACCTGCTTGTGACTTGGGCAGCGGACTCTGTTGCTGTTTCTTTTAATAATAGTTAAGCCATATCATCTAAGGTTTTTGGCTTGTTTTGAGATGTGAAATTGTTTTATAGATGATAAAAGTTAAACATATAGTGTATGTATAAAGCTGGAATGCTTGTCCTTACTGATTATTTTTTTGTACCATATTGTAAACTATATTATTTATTCTTTACCAGTTTTGGGGAAAAAAGGTGTTTGGGTTATTTAATATAATATACAAAAGCTGTTAAAAAGTTCCTCTGTTTTAAATTTCCAATTCAACTTGTAAAGCTGTTTTTATGATTGTGCATAAATACATACTAATCCTTGGTCTAATTCACGTGTGTGCAGTTTGTGACCCTGTAAGCACAGTCGGTTTGCTAGGAATAAGACTCTCCTCCCGGCAGAAAAAGAGAGATAAATAATTGCATTCAGAATTTTGTGCATATCCATATTGCCTAACCAATTGAAACATGGCTTGTGTGCTAGAAGAGGTAGCCTCAGAGGTCTGTGAGTCTCATCCACTCTTCTTCTGTCCTTCACTCATATGCCATGTTTTGATGACTTCCCCCAGAGCAAACCACACAATCTGTTGTGATCTTCAAATTGGGTGCTTTAACAAATGGCTGTTTTTCTTGTTTACCAACCTGGATTAAACTGTAGTTTAAAATTCTGAACAATAGGCAAGAAACAAGGCACAACTTGTTAAAGCGCACAATTCAATCGTAGCAGATTTGGGGTTTGGCTTTCAACTGTGAAGTCTGCCCTTGGCCGTGTTGTGTAGTATGCAGCATCTTAGTTGGCAGGCATGGGAAAGAACCTTTGTCTGAGACCTTGGAGCACTGATATCTGCTGGGGGCAGGAAAGCTAGTATACGACAGCCAGTGTAGTATATTAAAACGCCAGCTCCTAAAGGCTCCTGAGCTAAAGTCTGGAATTTAAGGGGGTGAGGATGAAAGGGTAGAAGAAACATCAGTTACAGAACCAACCAAGAAGCATTCTTAGTTTTGCAAGTTTTACTCTGTAGATTTCATCAACTGTACTTCAGTATGCAGATCAGTGTTCCCTCTAAGCTGAGTTAGTGTGAGCTAGCTCACAGTTTTTTAGCCTCTGGCTCACACATTTTTGCCTTAGCTCAGGAAGGAGGGCTCCAGAGCAAACTAATTTATGCAGCAGCCAAATGGCTCGCTCACAACTTTCATGCCAGTCGCTCACAAAGTAGAATTTTTGCTCACAAGACTCCACAGCTTAGAGGGAACACTGATGCAGATTGAAAGTCTCAGTGATGAAGCTGCAGGGCTGAAAACTCCATGGTCCTGAGCTCGCCCTGAGTCAGTTGTGGCTTCATGGCAGACAATTACTAATTTTGTAATGGATAAGCTTATTTCATTATATGCTTATGTCACAAAATTGTATGCTGTTAGCTTTTTACCACAAAACTCTGAGCTGGCTTTGGCTGGAAGGGCAGGGTAGAAATCGGATAAATATATATGCATGGTAACTGATTCCACTAGAGTCCAGTGCGATATGAAACCTTGCTGTGCTTGTTGCAGTCCAAAGGGAATGTATATACAACCACCACAATTTGGATTGTATATGTATAGGTATTTAGGATACATTCATGCCACCTCTTCAGAGCCCTGCTTGAGGCCTCCTGCAATCAAAACAATTTAACAATGCTCCTTCCACATTTATGTTCATAAAATGTAATGCTTAACAATTGTTCAACTGAAGTAGGCTTAATACACACATGGGATGAGTGGAGCTTGTGCAGTTTACACTAATCCCATCTGAATCTATACGACATACCAATTTTTAATTTATGTTTGCGGAATTTTATCCAAGTGGAATACACTACATTCTTCATTTTATTTATTTACGAGTTCAGGAGGAATCGGTGGACGGTGTGTTTATCAATAGGGTAAATCTTCAATTATGTGTGCGTGCGTGAGCGTACAGATTTAGTTAGATAGTAAAGGTTCCCCTGCTTGAAAGCGAGTCGAGTCCAACTCTAGGGTTGCGGTGCTCATCTCGGTTTCAAAGCCGAAGAGCCAGCGCTGTCCGAAGACATTTCCATGGTCATGTGGCCGGCAAGGCGAACGGAACGCTGTTCCCTTCCCACCGAAGTGGTACCTATTTATCTACTTGCAATTTCTTGCTTTCGAACTGCTAGGTTGGCAGGAGCTGGAACGAGAGACGGGAGCTCGCTCCGTCATGCGGCACACTCGGGTCTCGAACTGCTGAACTACCGACCTTCCACAGCCTGCAGTTCAGCGTCTTAACCACTTGAGCCACCGCAGCTCCTTTTAGTTAGATAGCTCTGCATGAAAAGCTGCTTCACTTCCAGTTCCGACTCTTTGTGACCCCCATGGACCAGATCCCGCCAGGCCCTCCTGTCTTCCATCGTGCTCCATAGTTTGCTTAATTTCATGTTCGTTTCATCTCTGACACTGTCTGACCATCTCATCCTTTGCCGTCCCCGTCTTCTTTGACCTTCAATCTCCCCCAGCATCAGGGTCTTCTCCAGGGAGTCCTCCCTTCTCATTGGGCGGCCAAAGTATTTGAGATGCGGACCCTTTAAACCTCACAAGCTATCCCTCCCGCCTCCCGCTTTATTTCAATCCAATTACCGCTGCTCTTCTTTTGAGTGGCAGCGGCCCTCTTCGAATAGGTCGCGTGGAGGAATGTGCGCTGGGGCCACGCCTCCTCTTTCGGTGTCGGCCTTCCTCCGAGCGAGGCGAGGGACTATCGAGCTGCGGTTGGATCGGAGGGAGGGCCGGAGGGAGGGAGTGGCGCGCGCCTTGGCCAATCGGCTGCCGAGGGTGCGCGAGCGCTGGTGTGGCGTAGGAGCCGCGCTCTGACTGAAGAGAAGGCGAAGCGGCGGTTTTGGGGTCTCGTCTCGTCATGTTCCAGGGCCCCGAGACCGACTGGGCGAAACCGAGCTCGAGGTAAGGCGGTTCGTGGGCAGGGAGCGACTTCTTGGGGGTGGGCCTACCTCGTAGGTGGAGGAGGCGCCGGACGCCTGGGTCCCTCGCTCGGTTCCCGCCCTTTTGCCACGGACCCAAACGCCCAGGGCCAGGCGGCGCCTCGGTTTTAGGAAGGGGCGCTGGGAGAATGCGCGCCGGCCTCCTGAATCCTCTGCTTAAGCTCGGCTTAACAACGCCCTGACGAGGGGAAGAGCCCCCCGCTAAGGAAGCGCGCTGGACCCGCAGTCAGGGGCGCATTAGGGGGCGTGTGCCTGTTGGCGTTGCCAACCTCCAGGTGGCGCCTGGGGTTCTTTTTTACTTTCAGCCTTTTCTTTTTGTTTTTTGGGTTTTAAATGTTTATTAAGAGGAAGGATGACATATCGAGAAATATAATAACTGCAAAACAGTCTACAACTGTCCTGAAAATCCAGTATTACAAACCAACCAGTTAGTCATCCATACAAATTTTTACAACATATATCAACAGCCGTAACAAACTAAGTTAGTACTAAATCTGATCACCTATACGTAGATGCCATGGGAGCTGTGATTCCCACAGAACTTTCAGCTTTTTGAAGATTTTTTTTTTTGCATGTATAAAAACAAGAAAGCGGACGAAGGACATAGGAAAAAGGGGGACGGACAATAGGAGGAGGAAAGAAAATCAGAGAGACACAGCTTAGAGTTTCCAGAATTTCAAAAAGGTTCCCAGTGACGAGGAGGAGGAGAGGAGATTGGATTTATGCCCCGCCCTTAACTCGGAGTCTCAGAGCGGCTTAGAAACTCTTCTCCCTTCCCCTCCCCACAACAGACACCCTGTGAGGTGGGTGGGGCTGACAGAACTCTGACACAAACTGCTCTTTCTCAAGGACAGCTGTGCCAGAGCTTGTGACTGACCCAAGGTCACCCAGCCAGGTGCAAGTGGAGGAGTGGGGAATCAAATCCGGTTCTCCCAGATTAGAGTCCACACACTTAACCACTACACCAAACTGGCTCTCTAAGCCAGTCCCATCACTTGTCACTGCATTTACAAGAAATACCTAATCACTTACTCGTAACCCATCCACCAATTATCCTAGTTTTCTAAAATGTAGAGTTCTTGTTACTCCTCAGAGCCACAGATCGTCAGTTCACTTCTTTTTCTTTTGCATGCAGAAAGTCAATAAAGGTATTTATTGCCAATAAAGGTAGCTGGTGTCTTCTTAATCAAAGAAGTAAGTTTAGCCATTTCCACCAGTTCCACCACCAATCTTCTACTGTGGGATATCTTTGTAGATTTCCAGTTCTGAGCATAAAGTAACCTTGGCTGCTGTGGTCATGTCTAAAAGCAAAGCTCCATGGAATTCTCAAGGAAGGAACTACAGCCTATCTCCCAAACCACAAAGATCAGTTCCCTTGGAGGGACATGGCAGCTTTGGAGGGCGTCACATGCCCACTGAAGGGCACCCCCGAAACTACTCCATCGTGTCCAGTCACTGCTCCTAAATCCCCAGGGATTTTGGAACCCCACCAAATAAAATCTAAGACGGGTAATCGCCATGCCCTACCTTGCAGGGCTGTTTGTAACAGTGAGACAATGTTGTTTCAATACTGAAGGGCATCATAAATGCTAATTTATTATTTTTTGTAAATAGTGCTGTGGGTGTTAAATAACTTGGGAAGGTGATTATAGTGCAGGGTTCAAATCACCAGTTTTCCTGAAACTTACTGGATGGCAAGTCATGCTCCTCCAGCCTCTCTTACCCCACAGGGTTGTTGTGAGGGAAAAGTGGAGGAAGATAGAACCATATATGCCCCACTGGTCTCCTTGGGGAAAAGGCACAATACAGATGCACTAAATAAATGTTTGCTCCCCACCGTGTTCAGTGGGGGTTCATGTCCTATGAGTGTGCTTCTAGTCCTAACTATGCTGATTTTGAAGTTTCTTACTGAAATTCTGGAGACATAACTTTAAAAAAATAAACTTTCTATTTAGCAAGCATTAATAGCTTCATAGTTGCACATGCCTACTTCTTGATCCTGACTCCTTTGCTGCTTAGCCATGAGTCGGTAGAGCGAATGGGTTCCTGGCAACTGGTGAAATCAAGGTTTGGTCAGAATTCAGAAGCAGTTTGCTTTTGTTTCATCGTTTTGGTCTTTTAAGATGCTGCAGGACTTCTGTTTGATCTTTGGTGGGACAGGTAATGCAGCTGCCTCTCCCTGACCCAAAACTATTTTCTGAATTCAGCTCTCTGCGCTCAGTCAGTACAGAAGCCTGAATTAAGTCTATAACGTGGGCAGGGGGGGAGCCAATTGTTACATATTTCCACAGTGATTTCCAGCCAACCACCGGCTTTTAGCCAAAGTATAGCATGACATACAGGGATGGAAAGTGATGTGCTTAGATACACTTTTAAGCTTTCGTATCTGAACTCAATCAGGCTTCATTTTTATGTGAAAAGAAAGACGTGCGTCTTGGAAAGGTGTAAAACCCTTCTCAGTAACTGCTCTGGGTATTCTGGGTTTTGTTCTCAGTGGTGCTCTGATAGCGACCCTCTTTCAGGACAAGGACAAAAGGCCAGTGCAAACACCCCTCCTATTTCTCTGTGTTCACAGTTTGTTATATATATATGCTCATCTAATTGCTCAGGCAATTAAAAGAAGTAAGATGCCCACAAATTTTAGCACTTATTGGCCTTTAAGGTGTTGTCAGATGCTCTGTGTTCTGTTGAATGCTGTGTTATTATATGCCGCCTTTTAATTTGCAAAGTACTTTACCATCTTTGATGTACCCAGTATAATTCCTGCTTGGCTTGGGAAGAACGGGGGCTGAGAATATATTGGCAGAGATAGGACTTAAACTTTGCTTTTGGCTTTCTTTACATATAAGAGGAGCTGCGGTGGCTCAAGTGGTTAAGACACTGAACTGCAGGCTGTGGAAGGTCAGTAGTTCAGCAGTTCGAGACCTGAGTGCCGTGTGATGGAGTGAGTTCCCGTCTCTGGTCCCAGCTCCTGCCAACCTAGCAGTTCGAAAGCAAGAAATTGCAAGTAGATAAATAGGTACTACTTCGGTGGGAAGGTAACAGTGTTCTGTGCGCCTTGGTGTTTAGTCATGCCGGCCACATGACCACGGAAACGTCTTCGGACAGCACCTTTTAATTTGCAAAGTACTTTACCATCGTGATGTACCCAGTATAATTACTGCTTGGCTTGGGAAGAACAGGGGCTGAGAATATATTGGCAGAGATAGGACTTAAACTTTGCTTTTGGCTTTCCTTACATATAAGAACTTGTTTATATAACTGTATGAATGACTGGAAATTGACTGCTGATATATTATGCAAATTTCTGTTTGCATAAGCGGAATGGAAACATAGAAGGGGCTACTTGCAAAATAATCTATGGTGTGGCACAATAAGGCCCAGGTCCTACTGTACCATATGCAAGATCCATTTGGCTGCCAGATCAAAGCCAGTTTTCTCATTCCTGGGCCATAATGACTCATAGTTGTTGCTTCTCTTTGGAGTGTAACTTGTCACCTTGCCAATGTTTTGCTGTGAGTTTACTACTATGCATTTCTTTGCTCCCAGAAAGCTTCTTGAAAGTGGATTGGATCCGCCTTCTGCTTTATGCAGTGTTGTGGGAACTATTAGGAGAAGGATTTTTCTAGGGGTAAGGGTCAGCAGTGAAAGAAGAAGAGGAAGAGATTGGATTTATACCCCGCCCTTCACTTGGAGTCTCAGAGCGGCTTACAATCTCCTTTCCCTTCCCCTCCCCACAACAGACACCCTGTGAGGTGGGTGGGGCTGAGAGAACTCTGACACAAACTGCTCTTTTCCAAGGACAGCTGTGCCAGAGCTTGTGACTGACCCAAGGTCACATCAGCAGGCGCAAGTGGAGGAGTGGGGAATCAAACCCGGTTCTCCCAGATTAGAGTCCACACACTTAACCACGACACCAAACTGGCTCTCAAGACCCCTGGACCAGATCCTGCCTTGGATCCTCCAGTTGCTAACCCAGATACAAGTTGTGTGGAAGGAAGGAGTGAAGTCTGTAACAACAGAAATTGCTGGGGATCCATTGTCTCCCCCTAAACCCCCGTTTTGTTCAATCTTAGCCAGTCACCAAGAATTGCTTCCTCAAATCTATTTTACTGTTTTTAATTTGTTTTAAACCTGATTTGAATGTATCTTCATGAAATGTTGTACACTGCCCTGATCCCCAAGTATGGGGGAGGGCGGTTTAAAAATCTAATTTACAAATAAATAAAGGGGTAAAGGTTCCTCTTGTTCAACAGCTAGTTGAATCCAACTCTCTAGGGGACAGTGCTCATCTCCGTTTCCAAGCTGAAGAGCCAGCGCTGTCTGAAGACTTCTCCGTGGTGGCCAGCGTGACTAAACACCAAGGCTCACGGAACACTGTTAACTTCCCACCGAAGTGAAGTGTACCTATTTAATCTGCTTACGATTTCTTGCTTTCGAACTCCTAGGGGACCTCCCATAAAATGGTTGAGTATCCAGGACTCTAGGGCATGTCTGCATGCCTGCAGCCTCTGCTCCCAAGTGGAAGTGTGCAAATTATTGATGGGAAAAGCAGGTTAACATGGATGCTGGCTCTGTAGATTGCACAGACTTCAGTAATCCTACCGCTATCCCTGCCAGCGAGGTAGACGGACAAGTACTGGCTGGGCTGGAAAACTTGGTTTGCATGTACTTCGGAGATGAGAGGAGTTCTCTGAATGTTCTGATCTCCAAATTGGAAAGGAAACACTTCCGTGCTGGGTGGTGGTGGTGGTTGGAAATGCCAGTGGCTCAGAAAGTAGAATTTTTACTCATGAGACTCTACAGCTTAGAGGGAACATTGCCGCTATCCCTGCCAGCGAGGTAGACAGACAAGTACTGGCTGGGCTGGAAAACTTGGTTTGCATGTACTTCGGAGATGAGAGGAGTTCTCTGAATGTTCTGATCTCCAAATAATGTTGGAAACACTTCTGTGCTGGGTGG